GAGGAGGAGGAGGAGGAGGTGGAGGCGGCCTGTTTGCAGGAGGGATGCCCAAACTGAGGTCTGCAGGAAGCGGTAGTAGAAATGGTAAAATATATATTATTATTTCATTAATTCAAGTTTGCATGTTCTTCCAGTGCATATGTGTGTCTACCAGGGACACAAAGGTTCCTCCCATGGTCGTAAATGATCTGGAAATTGCCCGTAACTAAGAGAATTTACCTCGGGATTAAGGCTAACCTCACTCTGAACCTCGAGGATGAGCAGGTTTAGCCGATGGATTCATAATAATAATGGTCAAAAACACAGAAAACTTCTAGTAACACCTCTCATTCAGTCTGATAGCCCAACTCTGTTTTATGAAATGTTTTTTAGATTGTGTCCAGACTCATTTGAGAAATACAGGACAGTTGTGGCTACTCAAATCAGATTTTCTAAGTGTCAAACTTCAAATACGAGTGAAAGAAATGCTATGCTGTGTTTTTTTATTTTTATAATGTGCTACTAATCGAATTGGCCACTTAAATGTGTCTGTTGTGTTACCCATAACACCCATGCATAATGTTGAAGTTAAATCCAGATTGACAAAAGTGCCGGGCAGAACACACGCTGCTACCAGTCGAGAATTGCGTGAAACCAGACTGTCTGTGCACAAAAATAGCAACAATTAATAAGTGCAAGGCAGCGCAATTTATTTCTTTGGAAGATGAAATATCGGACGTCCTTTTCTCATGCTTCTGAATCGGGAATCAGAGTCACCAGAGTAGCTACTGCAGTCTTTACAAAGCCTAAAAAGAGTACCGTACATTTTTTCTCGCAGAAATATTTGTATTAGATTTTTTTTGATCAATTAATTTTTAATTGTATGTTCTGTTTTTCCCAGACCCAGCACCCAGCAGAGGACCCATGCTCCCACCTGGAGGCCGCTCTGGTGGTCCCAGCCCCTTCGGTGGTAGGGGGAGTGGGGGCTCCATCGTCCCGCCCAAACTCCCAGCAGCCCCTTCTAGCGCCCGTAACAGTGTCCCTGATCTTCCAAAGGGCCGACCGAGTTTCTCCTCCAGACAGGACACTCCGGGCGGCCCCCCCCCTCCCGTACCCAACACACCTCGACCAAGCCAGAACATCCACTCTCGCGGGGGCCCCCCTCCCCCCTCCGTCCCTGCAGGACCCCGACCCACCTCCGGACCCCCGCTTCCGAGCCTCCCACCAGGGAGGCACGGCTCACTCCCCCCCCCATCAGGCGGACCCTCGTCTGGGTCGAGACAAGGGTTCTCCGCCCCTCTTCCTCCGCCCCCGAACAACAGCAGCAGCAGACCCTCGTTACCTCCGACCCCTGGAGGGAGGCCTCCTCTCCCTGACGACAGACCCCCTCCCCCCCCAGCTCCCGCGGGGGGTCACAGGCCGTCGATGCCCCGTGATTTCCCGCCTCCTCCCCCCTCCCTCAACTCCAAACCTCCCTCCTCCGTCTCCTCCTCCTCTCGGCCATCAGTCGGTGGGGGTGCCCCTCCTCTTCCTCCGGGACGACCGGGACCCCCCCCTCTCCCCCCCTCGTCGGCTGGAGGGGACGACCACAACATGCCTCGCCTGCCCCAAAGAAACATGTCACTCAACAGGTAAAGGATTATAGGTTTCTGCTTGTTGTTAAATGTTAGTGGACAGCATTTCCCATCATTTCATTTTTAATTGTTCCGTTCATGGTACGCACAACTACAATTATTTACAAAACATTTCTATATGTCTATAAACACACCATTGACCGAAAAGGAGCAGGGAGAGGAAAATAATCTTATATTATCTGCCACTTTCTAAAAAAAATAATAAAAGTAGATGGTCTGTCTTTCATATTTTCTTATTCACAGCCAATCATAACAAAAGCCAAATCTACTTTGGTATTGGTTGCAGTTTGAATGTATTAAAATCAAACAGCTGTTCTGTTCACTCAATTTCATAACATTCATCTGCAACTTAGTAATTGTGTATCTATTATCTAATATATCATTCCAATAACTTGTATATAGACTCGTATTGCTCTATTCCACTTTCTCACTTTTTTTAGAACTATTTCTCTTTTTGTATTACTTTTAATATAGTATATTTTAATATTGTTTTAATATTGTCTGCTTATCTGTATTATTGTGTTGCATTGTTGGAGAAGCCTGTGACCTACAGTAAGATGTTCAACGACATAATTACTCTGTAGCTATGTTAGTTTGACAATAAAGAACCTTGAACCTTCTTTTAGCTTCCCTCCTAAACAAAACAGTTTTAAATCTTAAATTGTTTGGAAATTTGTTTTTGTCTTGATAATTACATTTAAAGGAGAGGTGTCATGGCCATTTCCACTGATCATAATTCCATTGTTGAGGTATACTAAAATAGAAAAATACTGTGCAATTTTCCAAACTCACATTGGTTTCGCATACAGCATCTCTGTAAAGTATATTCAGCAGTATTCACTTTCTCCACTAAACGGCTCGCTGCAGCTCCCCCCCCCCTTGTTTGGGTTGTATGTGTGCACGTGTTTGGGTTGTATGTGTGACTGTTTGTGGTTGTATGTGTTGCACGTGTTTGGGTTGTATGTGTGCACGTGTTTGGGTTGGTATGATGTGGCACGTGTCTGGGTTGTATGTGTGTACTTGTCCGGGTTGTATGTGTGTACTTGATTGGGTTGATGTGTGTACTTGTCTTGGGTTGTATGTGTGTCACGGTTTGGGTTGTATGTGTGTACTTTGTTTGGGTTGTATGTGGTACTTGATTGGGTTGTATGTGTAGTACTTGCTTTGGGTTGTATGTGTGTATTTTTGGTTGTTATGTGTGTACTTGTTTGGGTAAGTTGTATAGTGTTGTACGGTATTTGGGTTGTATGTGTGTACTGTTTGGGTTTGTATGGTATGTACTTTTTGGGTTGTATGTGTGGTATTGTTTGGAGTTGTATGTGTTCACGTGTTTGGGTTGTATGTGTGCACGTGTTTTGGGTTGGTATGGTGTGTACGTGTTTCGGTGTTTGTATGTTGTACTTGTTTGGGTTGTATGTTGTGTACGTGTTGGGTTGTATGTGTGTACGTGTTTGGGTTGTATGTGTTACGTGTTTGGGTTTGTATGTGTGTACTGTTTGGGTTGATGTGTGTACTTTGTTTGGTTGTATGTGTGTACTTGTTTGGGTTGTATGTGTGTACTTGTTTGGGTTGTATGGTGTGACGTGTTTGGGTTGTATTTGGCACGTGTTTGGGTTTGTATGTGCGTACTGTTTTGGGTTGTATGTGTGACGTGTTTTGGGCTTGTATTGTGTGTACTTGTTTGGGTTGTTATGTGTGCACGTGTTTGGGTTGTATGTGTGCACGTCGTTTGGGTTGTTATGTGCCGTATTGTTTTGGGTTTTGTATGTGTGTACGTGTTTGGGTTGTATGTGTGTACTTGTTTGGGTTGTATGTTGTACTGTTTGGGTTGTATTTGTACTTTTGGGTTGTATTGTGTGTTACGTGTTCTGGTTGTATGTGTGTAGTGTTTTGGGTTGTATGTGTGTACGTGTTTGTTGTTGTGTGTACTTGTTGGGTTGATTGTGTGTACTGTTTGGGTTTATGTGTGTACTTGTTTGGTGATGTGTGTACTGTTTGGGTGTATGTGTGCACGTGTTGGGTTGTATGTGTGCACGTGTTTGGGTTTTGTATGATGCGTACTTGTTTGGGTTGGTATGTGTGCACGTGTTGGGTTGTATGTGTGCATGTGTTTGGTTTGTATGTGTGTACGGTGTTTGGGTTTGTATGTGTGCACGTTGTTTGGGTTGTCATGTGTGCACGTGTTTTGGGTTTGTATGTGTGTTACTTGTTGGGTTGTATTGGTGTACGTGTTTGGGTTGTAAGTGTGTACGTGTTTGGGTTGTTACGTGTGACGTTTTTGGGTTTTACGTGTGTACGTGTTTGGGTTGTATGTGTGCACGTGTTTGGGTTGTATGTGTAGTACGTGTTTGGGTTGTATGTGTGTACTTTTTTATGTCGACCCCCAAGTCACAGAAACGAACTCCTGGTGGTCCTTCACTTTGACCGCAGAAAGTTCGGTGGTTGTTATGTAAACACCCAGGTTTGACCCTTGAGTTTGGTCGCTGGTACGATGCTTTGCTCGACGATTTGGTGCGAAAGGAAAGTGTAGTATACCTATGGATTCCTATTGGGTGGGACACGACAACCACCTATGGCAACGGGTACCCCCCTTCCTTCTCGGGGGGACGTGGCCGGACAGGCCTCCACTCCCCCCCCCCAGGATGGTGGGGGGGTCAGACCCGACCCGGCTGGTAGCCTCTTCCTCGACCACTACCTTGGAGTGTGACGGGGGGGCGTGTGGTGCTTGGACTCCCTCCTTCCCCCTCCTTCTCTCCTGCGACACCCTCCATTTTATTTTTTCGTCGCATTTTTTACTATCAGAACGCCGTGATTTAATGAATACCGTAGTTCTTCTTCTGTAATTGTTAAAGTGAATTTAATTTCGGGTTTGTGTAAGTGTTGTAAAGACTGTGATTTTTCTTTCTCTACTCTCTTTTCACGTAGGTTTTCGGAGCCAATGTTTGTTACTTGCAGCTGTTTCTGTCTTCCGACATTTATCATTGTCACGACGTGAAGTACACCAATCAATATACGTTTTGCTGTTTTGAGTCATTGTTGTCGGGATAACCAGACCAAATGTGTGGTTTTTGATTTACAAGTCTAAGTGAATGTAAGCCTTTATTAAGTTTATTCGGTCAATTTGACTCTAATACACTGTCACATGACATTCGTTCCGAACTTGCACTTCTCACCGTAAGGGAACACTAAGCTGGTAATAGCCCTAACATAATTTTGAAAGAAGTATAAAAAGTTATAATGTAAATTCCGACAAGTGCCGACACGCACTATCCTACCAAAGGAGGGTTCTCGACCCCAGAGGTAGCAACCCACCTCCTCCAGTCTCTGAAAGGGCCCGCAACCCGACCTTTGACTCGAACCGACGGTTGCTCTTTGTTGTAATATAACCCTTAAAAGTCTACAACCTAACCAGTTGACGAATCTCTTTCAGGGGGGGGGGATTTCGGATAGTGCCAAAATCGAAACGTGTTCTTTGGATTATTGTTCATGTCCTTTCCCTTTTTGGAGGGTTTGGGGATTATCCCGGGAATTATTGTATAAATTTCCACTGGTTACAGTACGAAAGCAATAATGGTGCAAGGGGAACACCACAATTTACTTCCAAAAGGACGTACATTTGCCAGACGTCTCATTTTTGGAGTTTCTGTAGGACATCGCTCATTTGAGATTTTTGTCTTTATGAGGGGGTTTTTGCGGACAACCACTTTGCAGTAGTACTGCAGTAGTAGATAACTAAAAGCCATGTACGGAAAGTTTTTCTTGCATGGGCCTTGATTTTACCCTACCGGTTAGGTACCTCGGCAATTTGCAATGCAGGCGCTCGGCAATGCATTCGGGGGGCGCGGACTAACCGGTTTAACTGGATAGGTGTGTGTGTGTGTTGAGTCACGTCCGTCGGACGACTATAAAGACGGGCACGATCGTCCGACTATTGGTCTGTCAACCTTAGGCGCCGCTTAACGAGACGTCTGGGTAAGCAGTGTCGCAAATAGTTGGATATTTCGGCAAAAAGAAGAGTTCATAGTTCCGGTGTGAATAACAAAATAAAGCCGACACTGAAACCCACACAAGTCCACAAAACCGACCAAACCGACACATAGCGGATGTTCCTTTAG